CAATGGCCGAGAAAGTAATTGTGTTGATGACGGACGGCAATTCTTACGACGATTGGAAAACAGTCAAAGAAACGGCTGAATATATCCAAGAGAGCAAGGTGAAGGTGTTCATTCTGGCCTTAGGCTGGAGCGTGTATAAGCCAGAACTGGAGATTTATGCCGGCAACCATGGAAAATTATTCACTAAGGAGAACATCTACTTGTTCGGCAACGAAATCCGCAAAATAGTGGGCACCAGCTGCTACGACTCGGCAAAATCGTTTCAGTCAAGCAATGGCAATTCGTCGAGCAACCAACCTGGGACTCATCCAAGGAGCCAAGAGGAACTTGCGGATACCATGCAAAAAGATTTGATAACGAGTCTGAAATCGATTGAAAATATTGAAATGCTAAGTACGTTGAACAGCCTTCCGTTGCCCCCCCCCCACATAATGATATTTGTGTCCATTTAGGATGTGCCGTCGATATCGTATTTGTTCTGGACGCTTCTGGCAGCACCGAACTTGGATTCTACGGCCAAATCCAGATGATGATAAACCTGGTCAAAATCATGACCGTAAATCCGTACGCACACAGGGTGGCTGTCATCGAATACAGCGGACTGGATATGCAAAAAGTGCAGTTTGGCCTCGATAAATACAAAGACAAAGGTTCCTTAATCGTGGCCATCCAGAGTAAATTTTTCGATATTCATCGGCTTCGTCTCTTCTTGTATGATGCATTGGCTTTACTTACGTAGAACTGCCGTTTTTCTCGGGAATCACGATGACCGGCGAAGCCCTGAAGCTGATCCAGACGGTTGCGAGGAAGCGAAGACGCAGCGTTCCTCTGCTGATAATCGTTCTAACCGACGGCGTGACGTACGACGAGGTTTCCAACACAGCAGCTGCTATCCGAAACATGGACAGCGTCGTAATGGCAACGGTGACAACCGTACAGCCATATAACTGGTAATTGGCCACTTTCGTCATTTACTGTACATTTAGTAACCTGCAATTCATTGGTACATTAGTACCGTAATTTCCCA